CACAGATTACAATGTCCTCACCTGTGGATGGACAAGTGCTGTTTTTCAGGGAAAGGTTTTATATTAATGCTGTTTCCCTCATTTTTAATGTTATGACTTTTGGTTTTTTTTTTAAGGGTATTCTAGCTTGCTAGGTTCATGGAGATCTCAGATGTGTTTGGCTCTAGGAGAGCCTCCTACTGAGGAAAAATGCATATTTATTTTAAAGTTATCCAAATGATGTTTTGATAGAAACATGGCTGTACTGGCAGCAGGACAAAGATCTGCTAGAGCAGAAATCTCCTCATGCCCACACCATCTGACCAGTGGTTTATTTAAAAATAAATTATTATGCTATTTCAGAAGAAATCTCCTGTGTCTGTGCGTTAATAGAGCTGTAACTGAATGTCCACAGCAACTAAACAGAAGGAGCAAACAGTGATGAACATATGCAGCAAGCCAGCTCCGTGGAGAGCCCTAGCAGAGCCCCAGCTTTTATTCTTCTTATTTTTCCCCCAGTTTGGGAGCTGAAACTTTAGCATTCATATCCTTACAGCTATTCTCCAAAGATGGGAGAAGTAGAAGCTTACTTAGGATTAGAAGGAAGCTGGTGCCTACATGGTTTGATACCATGAACAGGAGTGATAATCAGTAACAAAAACACCACCAAATACAAACCTTGCAAAATAATTCCCTGGAAGTGGCATGAAAATTATGGTATCACAAAGCGTATCTGGCTGATTCATCAGGTTCAAAATGCAGCACAGAGAAACTCAAACAAGTTTGGAAGGAAAGACAATTTGGCATGAGTAAAGGGACCAGAGTCTTGTCCTGGTTTCATTTTAAGGATTTAAAAAGTTACAGGATAATCTCCTTAGAGGGCAATCACATCAGAAGAGTAATGAAATATTTTCACAAGAATAAATCCAAGGTGACTGGCTCTCACAAAATAGGTTATAATAAAAAAAAAAAAAACACACAAAAAAAAAAAAACCAAAAATACCACAAAAACCTTTGAAACTATCAAGCATGTAAAAAAAAAAAAAGAAGAAAAAATCACATTCTACCCAGTTCTGCAGAAATTCTTGTGGACAACTCCCAAGTTAATTGAAGCTGAATCTGCCAAATGAAGAATAGCCTACGGCAGCAAAGAAAAAGAAAAAATAATAAGAAGAAAAAAGAAATCCATGCATAGAATAACAATTTCTCAACAGTCATTTATTGCAGTGGCAGGACACCACCTCCTGCCTGGGATTAGACATCAACACCTTTGCTTAAAGCGCTTCTTGCTGGATGCAGAATGGCAAGCTGTTCACACTGGGTCCTAAGAGAGGGTTAATCCCCGTCCACCCACTGCTTGGCTCTCCTGGGGAAAATCTGAGACCTTTAAATTCAGTGGGGAATGTTGCTGAGCTTCAATGAGTTGTTACAGATGGTCCCTTGTTATTAGCTTGAGGAGTGGTGATTAAAACTGGTCCTCATCCTTGGTCACTCACCTTGCAAATGTCTATCAGGAATACAGTTAATAGGAACTTAGTGCTCTTGCATGGTTCACACGCATTATAAAGCTGTGGGAGATGCCACCACTGGCTCAGGGAAAGAAACCATAAAAGGAAAAACAGCTGTTGTACAAGAGGACTCAGAAGAGCTTGACACACCCCACTGCTTGAGCAAGGAGGGGCAAAACTAGTGCATGCAAGCCAGCGTTGGCCCAAGGAAGGCAGCAAAATTCCATGTCACCAAGCAAAAGTGTGGCCCAGAGATGCAGACCACCACCACATCAAGAGGCTGCTTCAGTCCAAAGGCAGTCACAGATAAGAAATGCCAACATGAATACTCAGAGGCATCATTGCTCGCTGCTGCCCAGTGCACAGCTCCAAGGGCACAGGTCCCCCCATGAGTATCTTCTCCAGGCAATGCCAGCGGCAAAGGAGAAGGTGCATCCCAACAGTGGGAAAAATCATCTCTCCTTCTATTACCTTCCCAGTATCAGTGCTGATATTAGCTGACAAGGTTCCCACCACTCCATTTTAAACCAGTAAAGGCACTGGGTGCTTTTGGATGGGCTCCTTGGTTTCTGCACTGCCTATAGAGGAGCTCCAAGAGATGCAGCTTGTAGCTCACCCAAACCTCTTGGGGCCAGTATGACCCAGGAGATCAGCTCCCACCCTCCCTAATATTCCCCCTGGGCTGTAAACACTGAGCCCCTTCCTCTATTCACTCATCACCATTTCCTGGAAAGCTATTTTATTTGCCCAACAACAGTCTAATTGTTTCACACACACACACACTCACCTCCCACCAAACCCAACACAAAGTCTATATATACGAAGTAACAGCAGCAGGCAACATGCCCATCCTGCTTGGCTGACAACTCACACAATTGTCTGCAAAGGGACTTTAAAATCAAACCAAACATAAAAATTAAGGTAACAAAGAAAGTGGTGGAGTTTTTTCTTTTATAAAAGACAAATTGTTTATTGATTCAGTCCTTCCACTTGCAACCTCTTTGGTAACAGTCATAACACTTCCAGACTGGGAGAACGCAGTGGAAAGGCCTAATTCTGACCTCTCACCACTGCCAGAGCTGACATGCCTTGGTGAGAGGCCAAAAGCATGGCCAAGGACCTGGCCTCTAGAGACAACTCGAAACAGCCTACCCTACCATGACTTGTCTTGCCCATGGGTGGCCCAGAGAACAGCCCCAGCACCCCAAGGCAGAAGACGGTTTGGGATGGGGATGCAATTAGGCCCTCGGTAACAAGGCTGACTGTGAGCTGTACCCTGGAAGGCAGCTTTGATGCACCTCTTGGGACCTCCCAAACATGGGCCAATGGGGCTGTCAACGAAGCAAGACTTGCCTGCTCCAGTAGGCAATGACTTGCCCCAGCTGGTCCCATGTTGATGGACTAACCCAACCATTTCAGCCTCCCCCTCATCACACAATCCCAAAGAGAGTAACTGCTGTACTTGGAGTTAAAGATAAACATATATTGATTACACATGGTCATAAAAAAAAAAAAAAAGTAATAATAATACATTTCCTAGAACATTACTTAAGACGCTTCCGAAAAGCATCTAAGCTTCCCCTCCCCGCCTTCCCTTATCTATACAGAATAAAGTGCTTCATTTAGTTTGTTCACACTAGTAGAGCCACTGATACACTCGTAACTTGGCATGTTTGGGCAACCGATACTGAATGCTGTAAAATAATACAGAGCCAAACACCAGGCATGAGAAATTAGTTTTGAGGCAAGTGCTTGGGGTTTCATTCATTTCCTTCAAGTTCCATGCTACTGAGGTTGTTCTTATTCCTTTTGTTTGTTTTCCTTTTTTTAATTATTATTTTCCTCCTTTGCAAGTTTGACTCAATTTCCACCATGGTTATGTCACTAGGCAGGGCCTCGTGTGGGGAAGCTCTCTCCGTCCATGTGAACAAAGGGCGTCTGTCTGTCCATCCTTCCCTCTCGACTTCAGGCAAACCAAGAGTTTAATCAGTGGAGTTGTCTAGCAGCGGATGCTCGTTTCTATTGCACTGTCACAGCCGTTCCCACCTGCCGGCTGTCCATCCATCACCACCTTCCCACCGCGCTGGGGTTATGGCTGTGGTCCGAAGGGCCAGCTGTGCCTCATGGGCACCATGAGGCTAACTGGTCTGTGCTACCAGGCTCCTGGGATAGATAAACCAAAAAATGACACCACCAACCCCCCCCCCCTCCCATGACTCCCTCCCTTCCCAGAGTTCAAATGAAAGTGGAGGGGGGAATTTCAAACCCAGACAGGTCTGGGGTTAGATGCACGGGCAGAGTTGTCAGTTGAGCACTGTGTTACGGTGTATTCATGAACTGCGTAATGGAAATCAAGCCCCTCTCCACCCTCGCAGTCTGTGGAAGAAGGGATGTGAGAGATTAAGGTGCAAGAGTTTAAAAAAAAAAAAAAAGAAAAAAAATTAAAATAAGCCATAAAAAGCTTGAAAGCAACGGACCCAACTCCCCCACCTCCCGCCCTGTCTAACCCAACGGGTGCCAACAGGGCCAACCGGGATAGATGCGGGACTGACTCGTTTTGAGCTCTTAGTACATTAATGAAAACCAGACATGAAGAGACACACTGGGGCTGAGTAAGGGTGTAGACAAAAGGGCTCAGAGGCCACATAGGACTCCTGGGAACTGCCCAGGCCCTGGAGAGGGGAAGGAGCAGCAGGGATCTGGTTCTCCAAAGTGCTGTGTGCATGTCACATCTCGACGTCTCCAAGTGGCTCTATGAGCAGGCTCTTGAAGGGGATCAGAAGCAGATGGGATCAGTCACTGGGCTTTCTGCTGGGCTTCTAGCCTCAACAAGGTGCTCTCATCTCACAGTGACATACAAGTGGGACAGGTCCTCAATGGGAGAGGACAAACTGGAACACAGAAAGCCACCTCCAGGTGAGAGGTACAAGGGAGCAAATGTTGGTGTGTTTACTTGGGGACAGAAGTCTACCAGCCAGGTAGGCTGATGCAGTCCATCACAAAGACCATACAGGCAAAGTCAGTCCTCCTATCCCATCTCAAGGCTGAGTGTGACAGGTAAGAAGCACAAGGGAGTCCTAGGGGATGTGATCTGGGAGGCAGTGGAGGAGGAGACAGCATGGACCACTCTACTGAGGCCCTCCAACACATCCAAGGATATTACTGAATGCTTCTCTAAAACAATCGTCTTCCCTTCTGGATCATGGTCCCTTCAGAAAGCCAATGGCCCCAAGACCACCCTCATGGGTGAGTGTTTGAGAAGGCTTTGTGACATCCTAATAAGCCCCAGGGTCATGGAGGAAGGAGAGCAAAGAAGCCTTTGGTACCCACCTGAGAAGGTCAATATGGCAAGGCAGCTCTGTCACAGCACCCTCCATTTGCTCAAAACAGATGGAGATGACAGTGAGCCCACTGGCACTGACTGCAATGTTGGGAGTCCACAGGATCCCAGCCAACATGAAGATGAAAAGTGATTTGTTGCTCCAAAATGCTAACATCTACAAGAGCAGACAGCAGGCACAGGGGACCACCACTCAGCAGGAGGGAACAATAGTCACCTAACCCATTCTGTCAAAGAGTACTCAGGACAACAGCAGATGCTCCCCTGTCCTGTCCCTATCAGGGCAATGCTCCTGAATGTTCCCATTCAGCAAAGCCCCTTGCACGTGGCTGAATCCTTCCACCTCTGCAGGGACAGCCTCAGTGCTGCCCAAGCACTTTACTGATTTAGGCCAGGAGACAAAGCACCAGGATTTCTTGCAGGGCCAGATGTGGCCTGTGCCCACTGTGCCCAGCACCCTGCTGTCACCCAGAACAAGATGCAAATAAGAAAGGGCTCCTGCAGCCTGCTCAAGGTCCTCTCTTCCTTCTTGCCTACCAATAGCTCACGACTTCCTCCATGACCTGACCACATGCATCTATAGCGCTGGCCTTGACAGCAAGACATCAACTGCTATGCGCAATACCTCTTGGCCAGCACCTCTCTGCCTGTGCTGGATGCTCTGCAGCATCTGCAGCTCTCCCCAGCTCCAAAGGGGACATTTCCCCTGGAAGAAAGACCACACAGCCATGGACAGGCCAATGTGTGACTCCCTGATGCAGAGCACAGCAGTGAGATACCCAGCTTGGACCAATAAAAAGTTAACAGCAAAGCCTCCTACCACCAGCATGAAGCAAACCTGAAGTGAAACCAAAGACCAACTCAGCTTCAACAAACACTACATGGCCAAAGAAGTGCTAACCAATACCGTGGGACATCACCAAATCAAACACAGCCCTCACTGGTCCCCCCAAGCCAGGGCAGGGAAACAGATGACAACCCCAAAGGGAGTGGCAAAGCTTGGGAGAGCAACGCAGGCAATGAGCTGGAGGATGAGACATAATCGTCAGGCTGAATGTGGTCTGGCTTTAGCTCTGAACTTTGCAATGGGACCTAGCCTGGAGCTCACCCATTAGAAAGGGGTTTATTCAAATTGTTAAGGCACTATTCTGGGCCAATTCTGCTGAGAAATGGCAGTATCCTTCTTCTCTATCCCAGGCTACATTCCCGCTGGTCCCGAGGCCATCTGAGCTCTCCCAGAGACATTTTCCAACTCCAGAGCATCCCCAGGAGCCCAGCTCCTGCTGGGATTAGCAGAAAGGGCACACCAGAGACAGACTCCTTAGGGCACCCCAAAAGGGAACCGGCAGTGAGCTGCCGATGCCCCGAGATGCAACGCTGGTGTTTGTGCTTTTGCCTACCTAGGAGGAAAACCTGTCACAGGGAAGGAAGACGTGGCAAGGGCCGCTAATGAGAGCAGGCTGACAGCTTTCCAACAGGGACATCTGCTCACCCGCCGCGGGCCACCGGGGCTGGCAGACAGGGCTGTCGGGGGCTCTTCTGTGGTGCTCACCTCTCAGCCTCTTGGGAAAAGAGCCTGGATTGAAAGACCAGCTTTACAGTACAGGGATTCAAGCACCACTAACTAGATTTGGGCTTATTATAAATATCGAAGCACCAGCAGGCATTCATTCTGCTAGCAAGCGGGAGTGCACCACCGGTGAGCACAACCCCGGATGGCACAGCATCCTGCTCCTCCAAGCATCACCAGCATCCTGGCTGAAGATGAAGCTGATGCATGGGAAGATGTAACAGAAAGTGACGCCTTTTACCTACACCCTTACGGACGGATGGCAGCTACCCCCCCAACACCCATGCTCCTCGGTGCAGGGGGCTTCCTCCTGCTCCCCCTCTCTGTGGAGAACGACGGGTGAGAAAAAGAAAAAACATACCAAAACAACCCCAAAACGAGGAGGAAAAGGGGTAGAGAGCAAGCAAAGCCTTGGCTCCCCTGGGGGGAGGCATTCCCAAAGGGCTGAGCAGTCTGTGCAGGCACATGGCCGGGATGGGGGCACCTAGTTGTTGTTTGAATTTACCCTGCCCGCAGGAAACAGGGGAGGGGGTGGCGGTAGGTGAGGAGGAGGAGGGAGGGTCTGTGGAAGGGGATGGAGCAGTGGCAGGGGCAGGGGGGAGATGCCAGGGCCGGGAGGCAACGGAGCAGGGCTGGTGGCAGGTTGGGGGACGGCCGTGTCCGAAGCCAAGGGGTTGCTGACGCGGAAGCATTTCTCCTTGTGGGCTTTCAGCATGTTGGAGAAGCGGAAGCGCTGGCCACAGACATCACAGGGGTACGGCTTCTCGCCCGTGTGGGTCCGGCGATGCCGCTTCATGTTGGGGCGGCTGGTGAAGCTCTTCCCACAGATCTCACAGATGTAGGGCTTCTCGCCTAAGGACAGGGGAAGACAGATGAGAAGCTGATGTCCCCTGGAGTCTGGGCTGTCCCCTGCCAAAACCCCATCCTGCCATCCACCCAAAGATGCTACCTCATTCCTTCGCCCTTCCCCCGGGTGCCTGCCCAAAGGGGCTGCGGGCAAAGCGGGGAGCTCTCACCCGTGTGCGTCTTCATGTGCTCATCAAAGTACTGCTTCATGTTGAAGTCCTTGCCACACCACTGACACATGAACTGCTTGTGGCCAATGTGGATGCTCATGTGGGAGCGCAGCTGGTACTTGTACTGGAAGCGTTCATTGCAGTTCTGCAGAAGTGAGAAGGGGATGAGCTTTTGATGAGCACCCAGAACATCTTAACATCCCCCTCAGATCACGAGCGTGTTGAAGTAGTGCAAGAAATCACTTTTTTTCCCCAAAAGAACCCAAATAAATGGCTTTTTAGGATATACCCAGCCCAGTGTTCAGGCCAGATGGGCACGGGGTTGGATGTAAAATCCAGGTGCTGGAGGGACAGATCATGGCATCGGACAAGTTTCATCATAAGGTTGGTAGGACCCTCAAACCAGGAGGTGATGCAAAGTCTGGAAGAGCATGGGAGCATCCCTACAGCTGTACTGGCACAAAGCATGGCGGGAGCTCCAAAAAGTGGATGATTTTTCCCCAGATCAGTGACTTTGTCCTTGTTTTAGAAGATGCAGGGTAAGGAGACACACAGGACCTTACCTCGCATTTAAAAGGCTTTTCCCCAGAGTGCTGGAGTGAGTGGACCTTGAGGGACATGCTGCGCTTGAAGGACTTCCCACAGGTCTCACAGGTGAATGGCATGTCCTTGGTGTGAGCTGGAGAAGAGCAGTGTCAGGAGTCCTCCTTGCACTTCAAGCATCTGTCTCCCCAAGTCCCATCTGCCATTCCCAACACCAGTGCCCAACCCCAGCAAATCCAATGCCATCTTGGGAATATAAACAGTAGCAACATTTCAGGTACTTCATACATTGTTTGCCAGGCCCCCCATTTTTGGATCTCTTTGGTGCCTGCAAGCCCCAGGGACCCAACCACCACTGTCATGTGCAATTTGCTATTCAAAGCCTGGCACTGGTGTGGTCTGGAAGGATGGTTGCACTTCAAACCCTCCTTTGATCACTTCTGAGGTCTTTTTTTCTGGTTAAATAAAACAAATGTGATTTCCCAGCACCATGCCTGACTGCTCCAAACCAGCACTGAGCAGACATACATTCAGTATTAAGTACTGGGCCAAATTTCAAGGCCTCCGCACTGACGTGAGAAAGCTCACCCAAGAGTAAGCCCAGCCCTCAACTCCCAACACAACAGCAACAAAAAACCACCCTTCATTGCCAAAATGATGGATGAACACCCCTAACAAGGTCTCCCCGTGGCACCGATGACTCCTGCACTCACCAACCATGTGTTTGCGCACGTGGGCCATGGTGTAGAACTTCTTCTCACAGATCTCGCAGGAGAACTTCTTCTCGGCATAGCCGTGAACGATCTTGTTGTGCTCATGGAGGGACCAGAGTTTCTTGAACCCCTTCCCACACGTCACACACTGCAAGGAGAGAAGAGATGGCTAAGGAAGCAGGGGAACGTGCCCAGAGACCACCAGCATTTCCATCTTAATAGGCTATCAGCTTAATCCACTGAAAGGGAATATCACTAGAAACTTACAGCTAAGACATCAAAAATCATAATGACCAGTAAGTCCGCTACAGACCTTGTCACTTAAAAACTCCCAAAAGTCAGATTTCTATGAGGATGGAACAACGACTTTTCAGGGAAGGACACGGCATCTCCATCAATGGCTGAATTAGGACTTGCATAAACAGCAGCTCACCCACCAAGGTTCTATTCCCAGCTGGGGATTGAATTCTTGCACACAATGATGCTATTACATAAAAAAACAAAACACAACCCTCTGTGCATTAGAAGGCTGCAAAGAATACAAGAACAAGAAGCAGCCCAAGCCAGGGAGCATAACTTCAGTCTTCAACAGGTATTACAGATGTTTTACCACCAAATGAGTTTTCCAAACATACTCAAATGGACCCCAAAACCAGTCCATCAGCACAAGCAGAACAACACGACATGCAAAACCTCCCCCAAGAAGTTATGGCAGAGATTTGCTTCAGTTCCGACAAGTTTGATGTTTCTCTGAAAGTCCCCAGGAAAAGCTCCAGCTGTGGCATGAGATCAGTTTGAAGCATGTGAGATCAGTTCAGTGCCCAGGGAAATACTGGAGAGCAAGGTCCACACAGGAGACCATTGTTGGAGTACAGGGATGGTAGGCAGCATGCGGCTAAGGACCCTGCCAGGCGCCAAGGGTCTCTCTTTCCTCCAAGGGTCAACTCTTTGATCTTCATCTCTCCATGACTCATCTTCCTCTTGGTTAACAAGGATGAAAATATCCCTCCTCCTCACAAATGTGTTAAGAAAGTAATTCATGCCTTGGAGGCATCTCACAACAGCACGGCTGAGTGGTACCAGTGAGCCTGGGGAGGGATTCCTCCGGCTTCTCCTCCTACTCAGAGGAACAGATGCTCGTTGATGGGCTTCGACCAGATTTTGCACTAAATGAGGCTGTGATACCATGGAAAATACCCCATTATGCCATGTAGTCACAGTATCTCTCCATATATATTTCTATTTTGCACCCAAGAGGCAAAATGAGGGTCACAGAGGCATTCCAACATCCATCATCTTCACCTAGTCATGAGTAGTTCCCTGAGTTTTACTGTTTCTAAGTATATATTTCCACAGATAACAGTTTTATCTCTGCTGTAAGAGACATGTCAGGACAAATTCAGGACCAGAGCCTGGTATCAAAGACACATCAATATCCATTTTCTGCACTTAAAATAAAAAAGGCTGCGGGGGAATTCTAAAATTAAAGGTAGAAAGAAAACAGCAGATGTAGGAAAGCCCCCAGGCTGGGACCAAGCACCCTGGAGCACTGAGCTCTGTCTTCAGTTACCATAAGAAAGCATCACTTAAAAATGTAGAAGTTGTATCCGAATGGGGGGGGGTGGAAATGAGAAGGTAAATTATTGCAGGTTAAAAGTGAAACCATACTGAAGCTGGTCAAAGAGTTTGAGAAACCACCAATAGAGTAATGGACAAATCAGTTTTCAGGCATTGGAGGCAGGATGCCTGTTATGCTGTCTGCAGGCCTGTGGACAATGATGGGAAACCATCACAGGGTGAAGCCTAACACCTAAAGCATTATTGATGAAATACGGGGGCAAAACAGGGAAATAAAGCAGCAGACTTGACTGGGGTAAGAGGGATGGTCCCTCCACAGATCTGGTTAAAAAGCAAGAAATAAAGACTGTCCATTACAGGTATAGAGTTGAAAAAAAATGCCATTTCCATGCAGCTGTAATTCCAGGCTATACTGAAGAAATTATTCAGTATTATCAGAGCAACTGGAGTGAATTTGGCTATTTGTAAAATTAAAAATGCTCAACTAAGTAAGAGGTAATGATCCACATTTTCTGCAGAAAGAGGTCACTACACAGTCAGTTGTGGGTCATCCTATTCAGAAATGTCCTGGAAAAAGGATTAAAAGCAGGGAGGAGGGAACCAATAAGGTGACAGCCCCTGTTACCTGTCAGGAAAGCTGATGAGGCTGAAGAAACGTTCTGGGAAAACTCGCTTTAATTGCACGGGCTTTCTGATAGGCTCTGAAACAGCCACCATGATGCAGGTGTCGGAGCTGCACTCACCCATTCTTGGAAAAAGCATCCAAAAAAAGCATCCCCGGCACTATGAATTTTTCAGGGTCAAAGTGTCAGTGAAGGCATCAGCTCCTTCACCCACCTGAGCCAAGACTGCTCCTGTCTCCATGTTCCCCATACACCCTAACACTGAGATCCGCTTCGTTCCCCTTTTATTTGTGATACTATTAGCAAAGGGCTCCGTGTGCCCTGGGTTGCGTTACCTTCACCTAGGATTGCTGCAAGATCATTTAAAATCTGGCTGGTGGTGGAAGGATGATGGGCAAAGCTCTCCAGAAGTTGGTATCTTTTAATTAATAGCAGCAGCATCACACAAAAAACAGCTCATCAGGGATTAGGGGATGGTTTGGAGGGGACTGCAGGAACACACATTTGCTGCTCTGATGGGATGCCTACCTATCCCTCCAAAACAGCAGTGATTTAACAGACTCAGTCTGCAAACACACAATCCTGTTAGCATTAGGTGAAGGACACACCAAGCCCAAGCCCTGCATGGATGTCAAATGCATCCGGAAATTTGCTAATACGCAAGCTAAAGAGCACAAAAGGCAGATTAAAACCATTTTAACTTGTGTCAGCAAATCTTTGAATTAAGCTAAATTGGTTTCAGCCTGGGTGGGAACAGCTGGAGTGTGTCTCCATCAGGGGCTCGCAGTGTTTTATCCAGATTAACTGAATAAATTCAAAGGGAAATCATTCCTCAAAAATTACTCCATGCTTCCACCTGGCCAGCCAAGGGGAAGCCACAGTCCCCTGGCACAAACCCTCACATCCCATACCACCATGGGACCCTCTTGAGCCTGAACACAAGTCACAAGGGTGAAATGAGGTTCCCTCCCATCTGCCATGTGCCAACCACAACATCAAGAATATTTGAGCATGAGCCCATCCCATGGTGTAGCTGGATGGGATGTCCTCCGTGGTGGATGGGATGTCCCTCCCACACTGGAGCGTCCCATCATAGTGGGATGCTCTTCGTTTGGTGGGATGCCCCAACCTGGTGGGATGCTCCACCCCGTGGGTGGATGTTCTCCCCTTGGTGGGATGTCCATCCCCTGGGGCTGGCTCACCTGGATGTTCTTCTCGCAGTCAGTCTGGTGGTGCAGCAGCAGCTCGCTCTCGAGCAGGAAGCGTTTGCCGCACTTGTCGCAGATCTGCATGCGGCTGTGCGTGACGTTCATGTGCTTCTCCAGGTACCAGCGGTTGTTGAAGACCCGGGGGCACTTCTTGCATGGGTAGTGCTGCTTCTCCTCCAGCTTCACCTTCTGGCCCAAACTATCCTGTTCCTTTTTCCTCTTCCTTCCTCGCTGCCCTTCTTCCTCCTCCTCCTCCTCCTCCTCCTCTTCCACCTTGGCCATCTCCTGAGACCTGGTTGCCATGGCAGGTTTGGTGGCTTTGGAGGCCCGGCTGCCTCTGCGGGGCTGCCCACACTTTTCCCTTTTCACTTCTGACGCGTCTTCATCATCGTCGTCGTCATCCTCTTCTTCAGTCGTCTCCTCCAGGTCTTCCTCCTCACTGTGCTCCTCCTCCTCCTCCTCACCCACCTCCGCATCCTCCTCTTCCTCCTCCTCCTCCCCTTCCTCATTCTCCTCCTCCCCATCCTCCTCTGTGTCTCGCCCATCACCATCAGGCCTCCCCATCACAGCTGCCTCACTGGCAGCTCCCTTCCCCTCCGTGCCCTTTGAGACATTGAGGGTCTGGTTGTTGAGGTTCACCTCCACAATGATCTGTTCCCGGTTGTATGAGCCCTGGCTGTCCAGGTCCTCCTCCGACTCCTCACCCTCCATCTTACAGACAGCACCTGGACCACCATCCTTCTCCTCCTTGTAGTACTGCTTGGCTGGACCAGGGGGAAGCGTCCCACCACCCGTGCCATCTTCCACCCGCACTGAATAGGGGTCATTGCCCTCCCGGGCGTAGATCTTGGGATGGGGGGTATCCACCTCCTGCTTGATCTCGCAGTAGTAGGGTGGGGGTCCGGCACAGCCCTCAGCAGGCAGGGCCATGTCAGTGGCCAGGCTGAGCGAGCGGGTGTCGAGGAGGTCCTGGCAGGAGGAGGCAATGTTGTTCATCTGCAACACGGCGGCTGCGTTCAGCACATCCTGCACATTGCAGGAGTTGACGAGGAGCTTGGAGGTGTAGATGAAGTTGAGGATCTGCTGGAGGCCCTGTGAGGTGAGAGCCTCCAGAGAGAGCTCCACGCGCTGCAGCTGCTTGTTCTGGGTGAAGAGGGAGTGGAAGAACTGGCTGTAGGCTGCCAGGACTCCCTTGTGCGCAGGGAAGATGCTCTTGTGCTGCACTAGCACAATGTCCACGTCACACAGGTCCGGCTGAAAGAGGCGCTGCTCGTTCAGTCTGTCCATCAAACACGTGAAGTGGAGGGCTACATCCTCCACCAGGGAGTACTCAGCCGAAGGGTAGTCAGTCGTTTTTTCGACTATCAGCTGTGGGGAGGAAGGAAATAAAATAACTCAAGAGGGCTCTTTTCCCAGGAAAACACCCGCCCAGCCATGCCACCCGTCCCTGTCCATGTATTCTAAATCAGAGATACCAACCAAGAGGCTCCACCACCAACTTGATTCCAGTAGACTCAACCAAGAAGGAAAAAGCCCAATGAAAGGATAGGTCAAGGCCACACAAGCACCTACTTACATCCCTTCAGCCTGGGGTAGGAGGCACCACGGCCATCCCACCACCAAGCTGGTCCAAAGCCTGGCTCAGCTGTCCACACTCATGCAGGAGAGATGTCATGCAGTGGAGCAGATGCCTCGATCTCCTAAACCAGGTGGAGACCAAAGGGGACAATTTGCCCCATGCAGGAAGCCAATTCTACGCACCAGCTGAGATTTAACCCCCTAAATAAAAGGAAATTAGGATTTTAAATCTCCCTGCTTCTACAAGATAATTACATAAAACACAGTAACCTCTCATATTTCCCGAATTACACTGTGTGCTCTGACTCACGTCAGCAGCTAACTCCCTAGCTGGATTCACTGGGATGATTTATGCGCTTTTTTAATGCCCATTTTAAATTGCCTGGGGAAAGGCACTACCTGGAAAAATTCAAATCAGGGAGCAGCAGCCCCAGGCTGGGAAATGCTGCGACTGCCAACACTTCCCAGACTGCATTTGCTGGGTATTTAATTCCACTTACATGTATTTTGCATGGTGCAAACCACCTCCGGACATCCATCACCTCTCCTGGGGATACTGAGCCCCAGGATGGGTTTGTCAGCTGCATCCCAAACACAAGGGATGTCCCACACTCTATATCTCAAGCCCTGTATTAAAATCAGGTGGGATAACCCTTTACCCTCTGCTTCCCTTTGTCTTGCTGTGCTGAACACCCAGTTCACAGATGGAGAAGGATCCAGCCACATTAACATCCTCTTTTCCACACCACTGCAAGATGTGACCAAGGACATGGTGCAGAGCAGTGGCAGAAATGAAGGGCTCAACTTGTCAGGTTTATCCTGCACCTTACACTCCAAAAAGCATTTCTCAGCTCCAGTTTTTTTCTGGAACAAATTGCAGCTCTTGATCAGCCCCTGAATTCCAGCAAGACACAATTTGTTTGTCTTCTATTTTTGTGAGCCAAAGGCGAAAGCACACGCAGACAAAAATGTTTAAATAATAAAAAGGGTGTTTTCTTCTGTTTTCTCAATAAGTTTAAAAAAAAAATGTTCCCCCTCCCTGCCAAAATTCTTCATTTTCACTGAATTTATGCTCCACAACCAACCCACCCAACTAGCGGGGTCGTCAGCTTCACATTGTCCAGAGGGCCCCAAAGAGCCCCAGCAAACTCACACCAGGGGGAAAACAGGACAAAACCAGCTTTTCTGCAGCCTGGAGTAAGGCAAAGAGGGAGAAGGGATCATATATATATTTCTGTATATATTTTATATCTATATTATATATTCGTTTTTCATATATATTAAAACACTGTATAAATATATGTAAACATAAACACATAAACACTCTACATACATATTTGTTACAAAATGCTACATCCCAGCTGGAACATCAGCTGGAACATCCACCACCTCCCCCCCCCCCCCCCCATTTTCTGAGCCTTGTAACTGCCAAGGACATTTCGACAAGAGGAACTTGGATGGCTCAGCCCCCCCAAGACACACAGGAAAGTAAATAACACTATCACATGTATTGAGCGCTGAAGGAACAGCAAAAGCTTTCAAGTGGAGAGGTCTGCTCTTTGCCAGGGACTTGCCTGGTTTGCTTGCGCTATGAAAAAACCCAGTTGAATTCAGGTTTTTCCTCCTGGGATCCATCTCACCTCACTCCCCGTATAGGATGCCCCGAGCTCAACACGGTCACAGCCATGGAGAAATGGATGCAAAACAGAAGGAACTGGTTCCGCCGGGCAGCATCATCTCTGCACAGGGCAGCCAGGAAAACAAAAGCTGGGTTCTGCTCCGGATCGAGGTTTTTTGGCAAAAGGGGCTGATCCCTCACCCAGAGCCGGGCCTTGCCAGGCAGCTCTAATCAGTCCCAGCAGCGGCGAGGACAATGCGTGTCTTGGCCGCGTCCTGTCGGTGACTTCAGCCCGGGCTTGTCAGCGGGAGGCTTTTGCTCTTTATTGCTATCAGATGCTTTTCGTGAGCTTGCCCAGAGCCCCAGCCAAGGCAAGAGGCGCCTGCCGGGGTGAGATCCCAAGAAAGACCCCAACTTGCCTTAAAATACCCCCCTGGCAGCTCCCGCTCCTGCTGCTGCACCGGAGCAGAGAAGCCTGATTAACCGGGATTAGTGGGAAGGTTAAATCCATCACCCTTCCCCTGGGAAAACAAATACTTTAAATATATACTTTTTTTTTTTTTTAAATCCCAAACATATTAAAAGACACTTACTGAAAAAATAAAATCACAGTTTTGCTCTTTTCCACCATCACCACCTGGGTGGGTTTAGTCCCATGAGTGGCCCACTGCAGGAGCAGGTCACCCATCCCAGTCTGAGTCTGGACTTGAGGTGTTCAATGTTATGAAACTGGAGCAAACCCTAAAACCACTGACCCCCACCACCCCCAGTGAACTCTGGACAGGGCCCTGGAATCATCATCACAAAAAAAAAAAACATAAAAATTACTCGAAAGCAGTGTGTCCATGAGGTCCCCACGCCAAGGGGATGGCAGCGCCTCCAGACAGCCCTCCCTGCCCCGACACTGCCCTCCAGCGCTATTTTCACAGTATTTTCAAGCGGCACTGCCAAAGTCCGTTCCCAAAACAGCCAGCTGAGGATGGAGAGAATGCTCAGGGTGAGAGGGGACCAAGGGATGGAGTTAGCTGAGCCCTGATGGCAGTGGCTGTGAAGAAGAGACAGGAGTGATACAGGAATGGTGGCCAAAGGAGACACTCATGCTCACTGGACCAGGGCAGCCTTTCTCCAACAAAGCCACTGAAAATACTGCTACAGGAGATGAAGCCTGAGCACAGCACCGTCCCTTTCACCTGCGTCCCCTACCGTGCCTCAGTTCCCTTAACAGCCCCACCAGCATCTCATCACCTCCCTTTAAAGTGGGCTGCTGCTGGATTTACCTTAATGTACTAAGATAAAATACTATTTATCTTCACAGATCCCTAAATGCTCCTGCAGCAATATACCCCTGTGAATAAGCAGTAGGTTGGGTCACCCTGGACATATTTAAATACTCAAATCTGCAGACCCCCAGGCCACCTCTGGCATTCACCAGTCTCTATATTTATTTATAGCCATGTCTATTGCCCTCATCACTGGAGTACCAAGGATCACAAGTATCTGCCTCCTGTATCAGCAAAAGAATAGGGTTTTGGGGGCATACAAGGCACATTTAGGTGGCCACAAGCCCCTGCTTCAAGTGGGGCAGGGCGGTGAGACCAGCTGCCTCTGAACCAGTTTCCATGCAGCACAAAATCTAGGGATTTCCTTAAAATTTTTCACTACCAAGACTCCCATGAAAAACAGCAATCTGCTTTTCCATCTGCAACTACCAAAACATTTACCATTGACCTTCAGTATTAAACCTGCATTAAGGAAAAGTGCTTTAATGAGTAGCTGAATACGATATTAGCACTTGCTCCTCAAAGAAACCTCGTGTGCTATTCTCAATTTGAATACCGCTGCATTGCAGGGTGAAAGAGCTTGGCTGAAACTATTCAGTCCCAAAACTTCACTTTTGCTAAAGAAAGAAATAATGTTAAAACCCCCTATTTTTACAGAGTATTTCAAGTGATACAAAGATGTATCATTGGGAATCCCAGAGACACCCATGCTTTTGATTTTAATCCACATCCCCATGCCATTTGCCCTCTGCTTTCAAGACCCTTGGATGAAACCTTCAGCCTTTATCCCCATAGTTTTGAGGCTACATAGGGTCTGGTTTTTTTTAAGGATGATGTAGTGCTTGCGTCTTTCAAAAACCAACTCCCAAAACCAGGATGCACCAGCACGAAGCCACCCCAGAACCAGCAGCACTGCCTGGACTATACATCACCAAAACCACCCATTTTTGGACCATGGCCATGCATGGAAACTTGGCACTGATGTAAAACACATCCCAGTGCACCCTCCCCTCGCCTATCACCTACCTTCACTGCTTTGCACGCCTGTCGCCACCCTCCCCGGGTGCCTCTCCCACGGGTGCTTTGCCCTCCCGTGGCACAGCGCTGTGCTGGGGGTAGGGGTTTTTTTGCTTCTCTGAACGGGTGTTTTTATTTAATTAGGGGAGGGTTGTCCGGAAAAACAAGCAGGAAGGGAAAACAATAGCTCGGCCACAGCCCCGCCTGGCGAGGCGCCGGCCGACACGGCCCCAAGCGCCCACCGCCAGCATCCTCCCCACTGGGATGGGATGCCACTGGGGCTGGACCGGGCATTTACAAGGAATGGTCCCATCCCAGAGGCCTGGGATGGCCAAGTCCTTTGGGATGGTGGTGACACCATCTAACGTGGTGACTTTCCTCTACATACTGTCTAAAAGGCTTGAGGCTGCCCAAATTAGAGCCATGTGCAGGCTTCAGAGGAAGCGAGAGGAAGGGTCTCAGTGATGCTCCCAAAGCCTGTCCCACTCCAGGGTGTTGGGCATCCCAAAAAACACCTCCCAGCCTTTACATAAGCAAGGAAGAGCATTAGCCTGGCTTGGGGAACAATCAGATGTTTCACAGGCTTTTTTTATTCCCCTCCCTTTTGGTTGTTTTCTAGGGCTTTTTTAATAGTATCCAGCATTTACAGGCTTCAGCTCAAACATGCTTTTCCAGGAAGCAGCCTGAGAAGCCAGCAGCAGTGCCAGGCCCAGCAGGACCATCCTCAGTGCAAGGGAATGGGGACAAATCCTTCCCCATCCCTGTCCCCATGCAGACAAGGAGCCACCCCTGCAAATGGGGAAAAGGTTCATTTGGGCTTTTCTTGTAAGTGCCACAGCCACCTGCAGCACTGCGAGAACAAGGGGATGAGGGGAATGAGCAACACCAGGCTTCATCCTGTTGGGAATGGGCACTGGCTTCCCAGCAGCACAGCCTGCTGAGGGTTAATGGCTGGTTGCTTTCTTATTTATTTTATAGGTTTTTTTTTCTCATATCCCAAACCCATCACCCTCTCTGGCATCCTTCTTTTCTTTTGCACACAGAGCTGCAAAGCTACAATGATGCTTTGCAAGGACGGGCAGATGGGACAACCCTGCTGTCACCCCCAACCCCAAACTGGTCCAGGGAGGCGATGCTGCAAAGCTGCTCCTTGCAGATGCCAGCACCACCACGATGGCATCAGGGACACCATCCCTCTGTTCCACCAAGGGTGACAAGGACTCATTGCCAAGTCCTGAGGTCAGCCCAGTAACCCCCAAGTCCATCCTGACATGAGTGAACGTGAGCCCCATCCTCTGCACAAGCACAACCTCCTTGCTGCAAAAATATTGAGGCTTCAGCCCAACTCCACATTATCTCCAGCCCAGGATAAGCCTCAATCACGCTGCTCTGGAGGGAGAGCAGAGGCACCAAAACTGGGCTGGATGCACCCATCCGTCTGTCCCTGTCCCCTTGATCAGGACCCAAAGCGGTTTCTTTCGGTGCAGCCAGACCCAATATACAGTGCAAAAGGTCTGTGGGCAATTCAAGCTCTGCGCTAAGCCTATAGCAGGGTCTGGGGTTAAACCCCAAACAGATGCTGCTGGATTTTGGCAGAGCAAGCATCCTCCTGACAAACACCAAACACAGCCAAGACAGACAAGCCACAGGGTCCCCACCAGTGCCTGGCACAGCCAGTGACACCCGGCTGATGGAGACATCCCCGAGCCACCACCCTGGCACAGGAGCAGACACTGGGATGCGATGCTGCCCTCCTGTCCAGGGGATGCAGGACCTGCCACAGAGTCACTGCTGGGGTGGAAGAACCCAGGACACACACACACACACACACAGCCACTGTCTCCCCCCTCCCCTGCCCGAGAAAAACAAGCTGAGGGAAGACTGAGGGAGGAAACAAGGACAAAACCCAACGCTGACCTCCCCAGCCGGGCTGTCGGCCAAGCGGCTGCGCCAGGGGCCAGCTCCGAACCGCTGCCCAGCCCAGCCTGAGCCGGCGAGGCCAGGGAGGAGGTGAGCATCATCCCCTCACAACCCTATGGGTGCCCCCAGTGCCACCAAAGGAGGGGATAGATTCAATGGGGGAGACAGTGCACAGAGTCCCCTGTGACCCATAGGACACCCAGGGACCCCAAATTCAGTGCAGGGAGCATGGACGGGTGCAACAGGGCAGCCATTGCGCTGCTTGTGCATAGCCTGAAGCCATCATGTCCCTGAGCCAGCCCAACATACACACTGCCATGCAGTAGCCAGGAAGAGGCTGAGATCCCTGGAAAGTGAGGTGGATAGATGCACAAGGCCTCCTCCAATGCTGAATTAGCTTGGCACTGGGCAGCACATTCCCCTGCCCAGCATCATGGCCTCCATCCCTGGGGAAGCCACAGTAACCTTCCAGGTGGGTCAACAGTGAGATGGGATGCGACACCTCTGATGTTTGCCCACACCCAGATCCCATCAGACCCTAAACCCACACCATTTTCTAACCCAACTCCAGACCACAAAATTGCCAGAGAGGTCCAAGGTTAAGCCTCTCCCAGCATCCTTGGCATAGCTTTCCATCCTAGAGCATCCTCTCCAAGCCTTACACTGCCTCACACTGACCCCAGGGATGGTCCCCTTCTCCAGCTCCATCCTAAACCCAACCTTGACTGGGGCTTTTTGTGAAGCACCAGCCATGTTCCTCTCTGCCAGCCATCCTTCCGGACCAACACTTAAAAGATTTTTATGAACATGCATTAAAATGGGTTATTTTTATCATGGCTCTTCCAACAAATTCAGCAGCTCAGGGAGCAGGGCTCTAACCCAGACAAAAAGGTGTCAGTAGCCCTGGCTCTGGGCAAAAGATACAATCTTAAAAATAATAATTAAAAAACCAGTTTATTGTAATTAAGTCTTCTACCCATTCTATCTGTACCACCATAGCCAGTCCTTCCCCATATCCAAAGTCGCCTCAGGTCTGACCATAGCCAGCTGAAGCACTGAAGTCGGCTGAAGAGGGAACAGCAGCCTAAGAGGACACAGGGACAAGTCCTCAGGTGTCCCCACACAGGAAACCCAACAGGGCCAGCCCTGCCCTGCAAACACCACTCCAGCAGTGCAATGCAATGGGTTTCCTTTAGAAATAAGAGAGGAATAATTAGGGGCAGTTGGTACAGAGACATATCCCGAGCTCATCCTCGCCACCAGCACCCTCCAGCCTTTCAGGGACCACAGATCCCATGGGATGTCAGGGGACATCTAAGATGCAAACCACACAGGGGACTTAGGGTATTCCCTTTCTCAGGACCACACGAATGTGGAAGCAAAACAAAAACTTCAGCTCTTGCTCTTCCTGGAGAGCACTTTGTCACAGTTATCGCCATGTCCCCATCTAAAAAGCCTAAAGGCAGCAGTGCAGGAGAGCCCTCGGTTTTCTCCTCCAGCATGAGCAAGAAGGGAGGATGGGGAAATCAGCAGTTCCCTCGAAACCTTCAAAGACCCTCTGATGTTTTGACACATTCAGTTCATCCACAAAAGGGTTTTTTTCCTATTTTTCCTTAAGCAGAAAAATCTGCATCTTAGAAATAACTAATATTTAACTGATTCATGGGCAACCTCCAGCTTCTCCCTCCCTTTTATAAAGAAGGTATCTCCAAAGGCAGCAGCCGGTTATTTTAGTGAAGGGGGTGACATGCCTCTCCTCCAGACCTGAGAAACAAACACAAGGCCATTTATCTTGCCTGACTCTGGCGTTCGCCTGGTAATAACCTAACGTGCCGTTAATTCCTCACAGGGAGAACAAAGCTCAGTCCTGAAGCCAAGCCAGGCGGTGATAGGAACCCTCTGGATGCCCCAGCAAAGCCCCTGGAACGGTGTTCAGCCCAGCCGGCATCCTCAGGGAAACTCCATGGTCAGAGCCGAAATGTTTGCACACAGCAAATGATTTCAACCCCAGATCCAGAAAATAAATAAAAATAAAATCAAAAAAATTCCCTTAACATCCTTCCAAGGAGGATTTTTGCTCTGCGAAGCAAATTTTCCTCTATTTCTTACTGAGGCCAGGGGCAGAGGAAAGGTTTAATTCCCAGCTTTTCACCTCCTTCCCCGCAGGGCTGCCCGCTCAGGTGGGCTCTGGGCATCTCCATTCCCACCTCGGGGATGAAACGTTCCCCAAAACCACCCCGGTGCTTCCCCAGGTCCATCAGCATCTCCCTCCGGAGGGGATGCAGGGGCGGCTTCATAAACTGATTAATGCCAGCAGGAATTTCGCAGGCCGAGCGTGGCCAGCACGTACTCAAACCGGACCCCGGTTACCCCCGGTATCGGAGCCGGGGCGTGCCAAGCTCCATCCCAGCATCCTGGCTCTCACCTCCTGCACCAGCTCAGCTGTGTCTGTTTTTCCAAGCTTGCACTTTCTTCCCCTGTCTGAAAAGCCGCTCGAACGCCTCCAGGGTGTTATTACGGGCACGGAGCCATCGCTGGGGCAATCACAACCCCGCACTTTTCGGGATGGGGGAGGCACCAGAGCACCTGGAACCGCGGTTCCTGGGCATGGCACATCCCAAGGGATTTTCCCTGTGCATCTTCCCGGCTCAGGCCTGCTCTCTGCAAGTCAAACGAACCCCCCTCAAAAGTCCACCGGCTGCTAAAATAGGTCACTGCTGCAAGGCTCCCGGTGCAACCGGCCTCCCTTCCTTGTTATTATTGTATTTTAGGAGGATTCATGGAAAATGCCTTTGCAAACCCGGAGCAGGGCGGGATGCTGCGCCTTCCCCGGGCCTCACTCCTCTGGGGGGTCAGGGTGAGCCCAGCATCCCCTAGATCCCCTTGGGAAAGGGGGCCCACGGCAGGAACAAGCCGGGAAGAGGGGGGTACACACAGGGACGAGGAATTAGCAAAATGAAGGAGTCATCCGGGGAACAAAAAGGGCCGAGGAAGCGAGAGGCTGCTCCCGCGCCCCCCCCCCCCCCCCCCCCGCCCCAGCGTCAGCAAACCCCATATCCTCCGGCCTGGGCAACCAGGAGGCCCCAAAAGTACCGTCTGTGCCCCTCCACCGCGGCCCAAACCTCGCCGTTGACCACGAATGGGGGCCTTGAGGTGGGCTTGGCCCCGCTGCTCAACCCTCCCGCAGCAGCCCCATCACCTCTCAAAACACACCGGGGTGGGGAGAACAAGCCCAGCCCCTCCAACCATCCCCTCACCCCCCGCAAAACCAGCCCGTGCATGGCGGGGGACACGGCGACATTTTTAATACGATTTTCGAATGCAAAACCTTCCCCCCCCCCCCCCGTTGTGCCAAGGGGGGGCCCATGCAGCCCATTCTCCCCCCACCAAAGCTGCTTGCAAGGAAGCACCGGGCCCACTGCATGGATGGGCTGCGCTGTTTGTATCCTACCCCCCGGCTCCTTCCAGCCCCTCCACGCGTATCCGTGTGTCCCGTCCTCCCCCCAGTAAGGATGCCGCCGGCTCGCCCATGCAAACCCCCCACCCTCCCCCAGGTTTCCACCTCCGCCGCCCTTGCAAGGATTTGGGCAAGTTTCGGAGGCCTTTGCAAAGTCAGCAAAGCCCCTGGAGCGCGAGGAAGTGGGAGGGGGGGGAAGGGAAGAAGGAGGAGGGGGAAGAGGAAAATAAGGAAAAAGCAAGGAAAAGGGAAGGGAGGGAAGGAAGGAAGGGAAGGGGGGGGGGGGTGTGCAAGCTCTACCATTTTGATGCAAAGGTCTCCGCGCAAAGGAGTCCCGGTCCTCCTCCGCTTGCCTGGGGTTTTTGCTCTCCATGAAAAAACAAGAACTGTTGGGATGGGTGGTTTGCTGGGTTGGATGCGGGGTGGGTTTTTTGCCTTTTTTTTTTCTTTTTTGGCTGGCTTTTTTGCTGCTTTTTTTTTTTTTTTTTGCCTTTTGGAGGAGGAGGGGGGAGGGAAGGAAATCACCGCGCCGCCGCTGCTGGCATCCCCCGTCCCTGTTTTCCTCTTTTTTCCTTTTTTTTTTTCCTTTCTCTCTCCCGCTTTTTTCCTTTTCTTTTTTATTTTTCTCGTTTTCCTTTTTTTCCCCTTTTCTTTTTCCTCCTCCTTCTCCTCTTCACCTCATCCTGCCCATCGCCATGTTCGCCCCTTTTAGGAAGACGGAGGAATGCGGAGCGGCGGCGGCTCCGGCTGCCAGGAACCCCGGGGCCGCTGATTGGAGCCGCCGCATCAGATGGGGCCGCGGCTGCCCCTTTAAAGGGACAGGGCCCCGACGACAACGACACGCTGCAGCTCACCCCACGCGTGACAGCCCCCCCATCATCCCAGCACCCCAACCCCGGGTTACAGCCAAGCCTTGCGGGGAGCACCCCTTCCACACACACATACACCCGGGAGCATCCTCTGTACCCCACTGGGGGAAACTGAGGCACATGCACCCCGCCAAAAAAAAAAAAAAAAAAAACATAAAGCCACCAAAAAGGCTTTTTTTGGGGCGTAAAACTCCAGTTTGGGGAGGCGTGGTGTATAAGGTTGGTTTTGTTAAGAAAAGGGATTTTTGAAGCGCTATCCTGCTGTTGGGGGAAATGGGGTTCCCTATAGGTAGAGATAGATGGGGCAGGTGTTTAAGGCATGTTTGGTTTTAGTATAGGGGGGCTGGTAGGTGGTCGTGGTGGGGGTCCGCCAAAGCCCCCTCAAGCCATGGAACGTGGCTTGAATCCATACCTCACTCCCCCAGAATAAAGTAGGAATTTATTATTTTTTCCTCTGCTTGGATCCACCCAATGCTGAGCTTCGGATGGTTTTTAGCATCTCAGTGCAACCCAGATGGGCTCCCCCAGAGGGAGGGGGGAAAGCTGGAGCAGACATGGAGGAGGAGTCCAGGGAGGCAACATACATGGTCCTCATGGTGCTCCCACATGTCTGACGCCCCTCAGTACTGGGCTCCACCAGGGCAGGAGAAGACCCATGAAGCACCTAATGTTGGGATGCTGACCACTTCCAAGACCCACGAAGCACCTAATGTTGGGATGCTGACCACTTCCAAGACCCACTTCTGCCCTCACCACTCATGCAGACACCATCCAAAATGCCCAGGGCAAATTAATTCTGTTTTACCACCCTAACAGCAGAGAAACACAACAGCTTCAAAGGGTGGCAGCAGGGTTGGGGGCATCCCCAGAGTCCCCAGGCTACTGCATCTTCATCCCACTTTCCCAGCTCTTCTTCCCTTCCAAACCACTCCCTTTTGCAGACACAAATGTGGTAACGTCTTGCACTTGTTTAGACTCTGCCTTGGTTGCTGTGTGCAGTAACATCTTCCAGATGTGTCCAGCTCTTTGCATAATGTCGCTGCAGCCACGTCCTGCCTGCTCTGGCTTTATTTAATATATTTAATTCTTTTTAATGCCCTTCCTTGCTCCCAACCCTGATTCACTCTGTAGGAAAAAATCCTGGCCAACGCCACCAGCACCTCTCCCCTATCAGAAAGCTTTTCATGAGATGAGTGTTCTGCCTATCCAGCATGTCTTCTACCCTGGAAACTTTTCCAGAAGCTACATAAGCTCCTGGAAAACACCCTGCTGACACACAGCCAGTGCTGGGGTGAGGATGAGATGAGGCCGGAGGTGGGAGACGGGAATTTAAGCTCTGCTCCAGAACCCAAATCACTGCAGCACCTTCATAGATGTGTCAGAGAGGACCAGGGAGCTCCAGAGCTTGGAGCTCTTGTAGCACTGAAGCATGCAGGTCTGCAGGGACAGGCAGGGATGGTCAAAGCCCTGATGCCACTCTTGTGAGCTCACCATGAGGTCCTTGCCTTTGGGGGGATGCTGAGCCCCCTCTCACATGGAAATCTGGTCTGCCGGCCACAGTTTTTCCTTCTTGACATGGCAGAAGCTGTTCCTGCAGCGGCCGTTGCCACCAGCACAAGGGGAAAAGTTCTGGAAGTGTCACATTTGGGTGAAACACTTCGTTTGGCAACAGTGACTACAGCAGTGTTCCTAACAGACAAAACACATGTGGGTTAATGGCCACAACTACCCATGGGCTCAAGAATAATTTGCTGGAAAAGCTTCCCAAAGCTCCCAGCAAATCCCATCCAACCCCATTTGGTGGGATACCATCCAACCTGGCCTTGCTGGCAAATTGGTAGGACAGGCAAATTGGTCTCATGTGTGGCTGGTGCAGCGCAGGGGCTGTCCTAACACACTTAGGCTACCCCTTCTTGTGCACCTCATCCCACCATGCAAAGGCTGAGCAAGGTGAGATGTAAGACACTTCAACTGCACAGTTAAGGTTAACAGGGCTCATGGACAACTGACTTCTTGTGGGAGCGTTTTCCCCTTCAACTGCTGGGGTTCCTGAAAGAGGGAAACTCCATGATCTCTGTGCCTTCACGCAAAAATAGGGAAGGTCTTCCTGGGAGGCTGGGAGCTGGCTCTGACACATCCTTAATGGTATCATTGACCAAGGAAAATGGAATGACCAAGGAAAGGTGAACAGGGTCCAGCATGGCAGATAGATGTGGAGATCCGGTGTTCAGTTCAGTCACCGTTAAGGAATGGGGTCTCCAGGAAGAGCGAAGCTCTGGAGAAACAAGGAGCATGGGGAGGGAGGCCCTGGTGACACAGGTGAAGTGTTGGGTCTCCTTCCTGTCTCATTGCAGCAGTGTGATGCCCACAAAAAGGACATCTCTCGTAGCTTTCCCTCTTCCTTTCTCTTGCTGAGATACGAGTTAGAAACCCAGTGACTCCACAAGATCACAGGGGGTCTTGAATGAAGGATCAGCCACAACAATACAGAGACTGGAAAATGTTTAGGGGAACTAGGTGAGGTTCATATTTTCTTGCTATAACTGATCTCGGGTAGTTCAGTTTACATTTCCATAGTTTTGGTCTTCTCTAAGAGAAGTGTCAGCAAGGACAAGGGACAAGAAGAAAGCTGATGTCCTGTAATAGCTCAGACACCTTTGAGTTTGTGAGGACCTAGGCAAGAGCCTGTAGGTATTCAAAAGATGTGCAGATGTGGTGCTTAGGGACATGGTTTAATGATGGACTTGGTAGTGTTTGGTTTATGATTGGACTCAATGATCCCAATGGTCTTTTCCTATCCAAATGATACTATGATTCTATGAAGAGCCAAGTGGACCTGAAAGGGTATCTCCAAGGTGATACCATGTCCCCCTGCTGGCTCTGCCTGCTTGGCCTGGATTCACTGCTTTAAGTGCAATGACTGTGCTCTGCTGGACATCTTCTGTAGGCTGGAAATCCTACAGGTACGTGCTCCAGGAGATGGTGAGATGAGCTGCCTTGCTGTCCACCCTTCCTGAGCCAGCACTGAGCCACCAGCACAGCAGGGCATGAATGAGTTTGGGAAAAGCCCTCCAGATTGCCATGGCCTTACCCATGGGATATAGGATGGGGGCTGAGGATCTCTTTAGGGATGCATCATGGGCTTGGCAACTGTTTTTCACTCAGCAGCTGGTTTTCTGAGCAGGCATATGGATCGTGGAAAAGAAAGGATCAAATCAGCCCAGGAGAGAGAATAAAAAATGGGGAAAGCAAGAACATTCCTAGAGGCTCTCTGGCCTTTCTCCTTCCAACCTCCTGAGAGGAACAGGAGGAGGAGAGAGACATAACAAAAGGCACAAGAAAAGAATAAGCCAAAGCAACGTTAACAAGAGGGTTGCAAGGTCCAAAGCAAGCAGCGTCGTGATGCAACAGGGCAGGCCCCTTCCCAAAAGCCCGTCAGCTTCTGGAGGACCCATGGTCCTGCAGAAAACACTGTCCTTTTAAGGCCAGGCGAGGAGGGCCGTGGTGCGGGAGCTCTGCCCTACTAAGGGAAAACATCTCCCACTTACTGTTTGCAACGAGAACACCCACAGCGTGAGTATAGACAAGCTCTCAAAGGACGACTGAAATACCGCTGCTTCGCTTTGACCCCAATTCTTCTTTCTTTTATATTTATTTTTTCCCTCTTTGATTTCTCACTTCTGCCTCCAAACTAGGAAAAAAATAATAAATTATAAAATAATAAAAGAAAATCAATTATTTGGGTGGGACTGGATGGATTCAGTGACACCCTCACATCGCAGTGTGGGGATCAGGCTCAGAAGGGCCTCCAGAGGACAGGGGTGAAACCTCCCCTAAGCAAGCAGCCCTTCCTGAGGAGGATGGTCTCCTTCCTGCAGGCAGCTGCGAGCAGCAGCCGTGCTGGTGTTCACCCTCCTCCCCTGCACAGTGGAAGGGCTGCGATCCAAGCCAGGGAGGACACTGTTACTCCACTCTCCAATATGATGCCAAGGCGCATGCCAAGGCCATCCATCCATCCACCGCTGCAAATCACAGCCCCGGCTGACCCGGCATCTCACTGCCTGAGAGGGAGCCACCACCTCCCGGAGCTGTAAAGCACACCTTATGCCAAGTCAGGCGGTATTTTCCTCTTGAGGGATCGCAGCTCCTCCGGGAATAGCTTTTCCTCTCTGGTTTGACGGAGGCAGGGAGGGGAATCCATACTGCAAATAAGACCCTGACACATCAGAAAGTTCAGGGAAGCTCCTGAATTTGTGTTTTCTCAGTTTTTCATGCACCTAGTAATTTGCCCACCCACAGGTATCTGCTGCATCCAGCAGCAGGCAGGTTTTAATTCTCAGAGGAGCTCATATTGGATTCCAGGTCTCATTTCCTACCAGTAATGCCAGTATTAGGAAGTTTACTTACAACCCTTGAATTCTAGTACAGTGGTGAGAAGAACAAAGTGTTAAAGAAAAATTGCTTGGAGGAGGAAGGTGGAGACAGCCTCCCCCCAGTCATAGTGTTTATGTTAAAAGGGTTCTCCAGAGCTCACATGGTACAATGTCTTACTCAAAACAGGCAAGTAGGAGGAGGAAGAAATTCATCTTTTCATGTCCTTGCTGCTCTCTCAGTGCTCCACCCCAGGATGTGGACCAAAGAGGAGCCCTGACCCATACCCTTCACAGCCCAAACATCTGCACTGCTGCTGAATGTCAAGAAATACTTCCTGGGTACCAAAACCCAGAGTGAGGTAAGGCTGTGATGGGTCTTTTCGCACTGCCTGGCTCAGTGTGACTTTAGTGTCCTTGCATCCCTGGCACAGTGTCGCTGTTGACAGACATCAATTCATTAGCAGTGGGGCTCATTAGAATCAAGTGCTGCAAAAACACAGCACCAGAATTGGTACCATGAAGTGC